TCTTTCTTTCTTTCTTTTCTTTCTTTCTCTTTCTCTCTCTCTCTCTCTCTTTCTTTCTTTCTTTCTTTGATCTCTATGGAGTTATTTCTTTCAAGGGTTTCAAGTTTTGGAGGTAAGGAATGAATTTAGGTGTTATTTCCCCACACTCCCCATCACTTACCATATCGTATCATTTTATCTCATTCCCAACACCCACTTCTATATCTTGCTTCTATGATATGTTTTTGAATCTACATATACTAATGTTAATATATACATTAAAGTAGCTTCTATTTGGCTGAGTGAGGTTAATTATATATATTCATAATTATTTATTGTTATGATTTTAAAATATTTTCTATTCTAATTTCCCTCTCAATGCTAATTAATCAATTAGAAACCTATCAAGAATCTGTTACATACTCTGCACTGTGTTTGTGTTGAATACAGTGAATTATTCCATGCTCCTATCCTCCCCTAAGAATTTATAGCTTAATTGGGAGAGAAGACATATCCCTAGGAAAGCTCAATAATAACAACAACACAATTTCTGCATTTAATAATTGGGTCTCAAATGCCTGGCACAGATGGTCACTGCTGAGTTCATCAGAGTGAGAGGTCACTGGGGACTGGAATGAAGAAGGAGACCTTGACTTTTAAAAAGCTCTTTGTCGTTTAAAAAGTTTTAAAGGAATGACCATTCTGTGGACTTTCTGAGAATTCATCTGTCAAAGCAACCAAAAATGGTAGATGGCAACTGGGCCTTGCTAGTTGAGCTGGGCAGAGTTTCCAGCACTCCCCTGGGACATCTCCTTACCTTACACTAGCATAACCATTAATGTTCCCAGGTCAGATAGCTGTCTGTTCTTTTATGGGTTTAGTTAGCTGCAAAAATATTCTTCTGCTAATAAAAAGTCAAAGGTTAAACTTCATTTAAAAATGAAGTATTAAAAAATGAATAAAAGGCTAGAAATTTGCTGGATATATGTTCTGGGGAAGTCATTCTTCCAGGAATCTGCATCTCTGTGTGTCATTGGGAAGAAAATTATGCCTCACAGAACCCATTTGTTCCACCTTTTAGCACTCAATAGCAGTTCAAAGCATGACTCAGAAACTCAAGTAGGAGGATGAGATATGGGTCATTGAGTAGTCTCTAAAAAAAGCTCAGCTTTTTGATGGGTAGATATATATTACCTGCTGTAAAAGGCCTTCAGGATGTTGCAAATGACAGTGAATCTTACTATATGCAGGAGCAAGAATATATTCTTGCTCCAGCTTGATTCTAAATGGCCATACCTCAGGAACTGGTTCATTCACATAGACCCATTCTTCCGATCCTGGCTTAGGTAGTTGAGGCATTATTGCAACAGGTGATACATCTGTAGAGTCAGCAGGTGATTTCTTCACTGGTGCTTTTCCTCCTGATGGTTTTCCTTTAGGAGAACCTTAAACATGCATATCAAATTATTCCAATACATGTAAATGAATGGGACAGAATTCTGGTGGATAAATAAATCTGTAATTTTCATGGACTTCAGGCAATTCATTAATTACATTTTAAGCCTTTATGAGTAGTCTTAACAAAAAATGCTTATTCTCCATGGCCCCCAAATTAACCAATAATATTAATAACAGTAAATATTTTAAAGTAATCCAACCTATCCAAGTGGCTAATAAATTTGATATTTTATTTTCATCTCTGTCTTTGCTTTTACAATGAACATGTGACTTTTATAAAGTTTAGACTCTAGAACAAAATGTGTTTCACCTACTATTTTAAAAACTGGCAAATTAAACTGTCTACCCTGAATGAGAAAGAAGGTAGCTAGAACATGAGTGGTGCTCTTGGTATCCCTTGGAGACCAGGTGAGAGGGCAGAGAGAAAGGAGGATATTATGAGTCAGCTGCAGTAGGTGAGGGATGCAGGGGAGGGGAAGAGAGCTGTAGCTCCTGAACAGTCCCTGCATATGACACAGGGTTTCTGTGGGGAAATTATATTTCTTGCTACAGTCAGGGAATAAAGATGAAGGTAGTTGCTGTGCCATAAGCCTGGCAGATTCAAGGCATGAGAGAGAGAAAGGGAGGGGAAGGTTAGGGAAGGGAGGGGAGGGGTGTGGAGGGCGGGGCAGGGCTTGGGAAGAAAAAAAGAAAGAGGAGTTCTAATTTTCAATTCAGAATCCAAAAAGGACATTCACTTCACTTTCCCTGATAACATCAAGAGGGGAATCTAGATCTATTAAGTGGTACCCTAGGGTATGAACAAACTTGGTCCTTAACTCAGAGAGTACTAATATTCCCTGGAAAGATCAAGTTATTATAGTTTGGAAATTCACTCCATTTAAAATTCCACTTACCTTTAGATTAATTATTGAATTTTTTAGATGCAGTTTACAGACACCTGTAGAACTAGGAGCACTTTCTTCCTTCAAAATATATTTCTTTAATGAGTATTATTTAATGATAAAGCTGTTTAGAAAAGCAAATACATCTACTTTTATGTTAGTAAAAAATAAGTGGATTATAAGTAGAGGTTAAATTGTTAATTATATCTTGTGTACAGTGTAGGTGATCTCTATTTATATATTTAAAAACAGTATTATCTATAGATCTGAAGTTATATCTAAACTATATAAAATTTAGAAAAATTTAAGAAAGTCTTTGTTTAGGCAGTAACTGACAATTTTCACAATTAGATATATTTTTCTATATAATGATTTTCGTCGACCTTAATCTCTGGTGAAGTACAAATCATAATTCTATGACTAATTTAAAATGAATTTCCTAAGCAAAATTCCCAAGAAGAACTTTGTAATGATAACTTAGAGACTGAGATGAGTTTTTTCTTTTCTTTCCTTAAACATCATGATCATTTAGTGAAAACTGAGAGAACCAAGGAATATTTCTGGACTGTTGTGCTTTGATTCTATACAGCTTGTATTTAACTTTTTTTTTTTTTTTGAGACGGAGTTTCGCTCTTGTTACCCAGGCTGGAGTGCAATGGCGCGATCTCGGCTCACTGCAGCCTCCGCCTCCTGGGTTCAGGCAATTCTCCTGCCTCAGCCTCCTGAGTAGCTGGGACTACAGGCACGCGCCACCATGCCCAGCTAATTTTTTGTAGTTTTAGTAGAGACGGGGTTTCACCGTGTTGACCAGGATGGTCTCGATCTCTTGACCTCGTGAGCCACCCGCCTCGGCCTCCCAAAGTGCTGGGATTACAGGTATTTAACTTTTAACAATGAAAATGCAGAAAGGTAAAATATTTGAATGAATAAAAATGTATGCATTCGTGAATATTCACTTTCGAACTAAATCTTTATAAGTATCTTAAATGTAACAGCAGTGTTACTTTTTAAATATCATCAATACAGCCATATGAAGGCTTTGTTTTCTAATAAGATATTTGCTTTCACCTGTAGAGTTTGGATCATTGAGTCCTCATGCTCATGAGTGAAAGGTTTGGAAAATAATCTATGATTAGCATATGGCAAAGGTACATATTAGCATTTTTTTGTTATAAAATCTTGACAGTATCACACAGAAGCTCATTGCACTGGAATGAGTCCAATAAAAATAAAATGCAGGCCGGGCGCGGTGGCTCACGCCTGTAATCCCAGCACTTTGGGAGGCCGAGGCGGGTGGATCACGAGGTCAAGAGATCAAGACCGTCCTGGTCAACATGGTGAAACCCCGTCTCTACTAAAAATACAAAAAATTAGCTGGGCATGGTGGCGCGTGCCTGTAGTCCCAGCTACTCAGGAGGCTGAGGCAGGAGAATTGCCTGAACCCGGGAGGCGGAGGTTGCGGTGAGCCGAGATTGCGCCATTGCACTCCAGCCTGGGCAACAAGAGCTAAACTCCGTCTCAAAAAAAAAAAAAAAAAAAAAAAAATTTAAGGAAAATGATAAAAAAAAAAAAAAAAAAAAAGAAAAAAAAAAAAAAATAAAATAAAAAAAATAAAAAAAATAAAATGCAGTAAAAAGAGAAATTCAATTTTAGAACATTGGATTTTAAAAATCAATGTTATAAATAAAGAAATAAAGACAAAAATGACGGAGCAGTAAGGTTGAGCATAGAAGATAATAATAGGAACTCAGTGACGGTCTGAGTAATTAAAAGGCAAGAGCTGGAACCAAAAGTTACAAGTAAGGAAGTAAATAGTTAATTCTAAGATAAGAGTTTCAATTGATGAGAGGACATTAAGAAAACCAGACACTTTCAAATTAAACTGGCCTTCCTCAGGGAAGTGAAAGGATTGGGAGGTGAGAATTGTAGGAGGGAGGAAAAGATATGGAAAGTCTGAATTATGTGTTTTTTTTTTTTCTTTTAAGAAAGGCATTATTGTTACCTTTGTGTTCCAAAATATGTCCTGTAGGACTTGATTTAATTAGCAGCTTCACTAGCTAGAAACCAGATCAGTTAACAGTGATGGCTTTCTTACTGCCTTCGGGGTCAACCATGTTCAGCAAAAAACAACTCTTTGTTAACAGATGCCAACAATGGCAACCAAAGTGGAGATTTAGAGTGTCTTAGATAAAATTTTAGCTCAGCAATGGAACAGACTGAAGCAACATGACCAGGAACAGGAGAGGCCCAGTGTTAGGCAAGGAGCCAGAGACCGAACATGTGTTCTCAGAACTCACTATTGAAAAACTATTCTGAAAAAGCTCATGGAGGGAAAGCTTTTTCCGCTTACTGTCCTAAAATTTATACTGTTATTCTGTGTACAGCTAGAGATACAGAATGTGGATGACTATAAATGAGACTGGTTATCTGGGGTCACTTATAAAACTTAATTGTAGTATTTTTATAATCACTGATAAGAGGGAACTCTCCAGGTCAGCTTTAAAAAGGATTCCCCTTTCTGCCCACTATCTTTAGTGACTTGGTCTGGGGCCAATAATAATAGTCCATATTTATTTACAGTTTATTCTGAGCTAGACCCTGTACTATTTACTTTTTTGCACATTTACTTATTCCTTATAATAGCCACATGAGTAGATACTTCTATTACTCCATTTCACAGATAAGGAAATTAAGGCATATTAAGGTACAGTAACTTGCCAGAGGTAACTCATACATGGTAAATGGCAGAGCTAGAATTTCACTCCAGGCAGGCTGGTTGCAGACTCCATGCTTTTGATTATCATACCTCATTGCCTTTTAGTGTCTGTTGATGTAGTTCCTATTGATAAAATGTTCTTTTTTTTTTCCATTTATTTATTTTATTGCA